TCCGAGAAGAGTAAGTGTGTATAATCAAAAACGGGGAGACTGGTAGCCATAAAAATTCTTGCATGAATGTTCAGGCTATAACTTTCTATATTGACACGTTCTTCCTGCATCGCTTTTTACCGATCATGAAGCCAACACTTCACTAACAGACCAGTCATCAGTTAGCAGCTTGTGTCTAATGAGTGTGATGTGCGAATGAGTTTGTTCGCGGTGTATGCATTTTCTCCAGTGCATTACCTCTTCGCTGCAATCCTCTAACTTTGGAATTTGAAACTTTTCCAGAGATATTTATCACATATTAAATATGTTAGTGATCAGCTAAAAGGTGCTCGATTTTGAAGGTCAGGAATCATGCCGATTCATTCATTCAAATTGATGACTATTGCAGCACGAAGGATAAACATTTTAACTTCTATACCCTTCTCGCTTCTGCTACCTCTACATTTCCAGTTTAGAAACGTCACTCAAGAAACTCAATCCCCCCCCCCTCCCAATTTTTCATTAAAGAACGTCCCTGCTATATCCATCGAAAGCACAGCTATGAAATGAGTGAACCTTAAAATTCTTTGTTATACAGGGTTATTCAAAAATCACGCACCACTAGCCATAACTTTAGTTCTAATTATGATATCGACTTGCGGTTTAAGACGTTTTTCCTCATATCGAGGGGGAAACTTTTCTAGGTACTTTCCAGGTTTTGATCCCCTCGGGGGCCGGGGGGCAACTCAAAAATGTTAAATGGCCATCCCCCTCATGGCCAGTGGTGCGTGACTTTTGAATAACCCTGTATAAGGAAATCCTGACTGCAACATCGAGTGAATTAATCCAACCGCCGTAAAAAAGGAAGAAAAAGAAAAATACCATTCAAAACCACACGCCACCTTTATATTTACAAAAATAACCAGACACTCACAATATTTAGAAGTTCCACTTTTCAATAAGAATATTTCAAACTCAAGATTGTTTTGAAAGCGATGACCCTCACGGATGCATCCGATTTTCAAGCGACACACAGTAGATTGAGTCATCAGGGGAGGTGGGACAAAATTTTGCAACTTTGAAAGCTTATTACTCCGTTTATATGTCGCCGGCAAATAGTCAAATATTCTAACTAAATTTGAAATTCTGATTCTTTTCCTAATTTCAGAAAAAATAATTCATCGCTCCTGCAAGAAAAAATTCTCGGTAAAAATTTGCACACATAATAGTGTTTTAAACAATTTTTAGCTCCTGAAGAGACATTGATCTTTAAATTTACAGCATGTCGTTACGTACAGAATTGTTGGAATTTCAACAATTAAAAATATGAGAAGCAATTGAAGAGGAAGAGACAAAATGAGTTCCTAGGTTTGATGAGTTATTTTTCCAAAAATAGTGAAAAATCGTCAGCTCTTCACCATAAATTCACAAAATTTTTTAGACCGTTAATATAGTACTATTTATTTTGCCTAGGCATTTGAAAAAATGCTTGATTTCACTATTTGCCACTATTGCATCTTGAGGCTCTAAAAGTGGTTCCATTGGTTTCCTTGTGAAATGTTCTTCTGCATGGAGGCACCCCTTAAAATTTAAAATGTGACGAAATAAATATCAAAATGTGTAGTTTAATTTAAAAATTTTACATCCGAGCTCTCTAATTGACTCGATCCACTGTGCGGCACATGTTGGCGGTCATCACCGTAAGGATAGTTTTGTTTTTGCCCGACGGATATGAGTTTTGAAAGAGTCGCCTCGTCATGTTGACAAAACAGAGGACTGCGATCGGGGTCGGCGATCTTGAATTTTCGAGCGAAGTTATGAGCGCAGCGTCGTCGTTGCGGACTGCGTGGTGATTTCACGATGCCCGAGCGGAGAAAGCTGCCAATCCGCCTCAGTCGAAGCTAGACACTCGCTCGGACGTGCGTGAACGTAAACACGAGGCCGTTGCCAAAATTTGCGCATCTTTTTCGCAATCTCCGACGAACGTTGTCAATACCTGTAGAAAATTGCAAGCGTGCGAAAAGAGGTATGTATACAGAGGGCCAACCCTATGGACGCTAGTAGTGTGCCACGTCACAGAAAATCGATGTGTGTATCGGTTCATTCTCACTGTTGGGATTGGAAGAGGTTATGTCATTGCTGTTGTTTGGATCCAATCCAATCCGATGTATTGGAGAATCCCCATGGTGACGTCACCACACTAGCGTCTGTATACAATGGAGATGTTGCATGTGTGAGGAATTCGCGATTGGACCATTGATTCTTGTGTAAAAGTTCGTGAAAAATACGACGGTGCCACTGGTTTTCTCTGATATCAACTCCCAAGCTCAAAAAAAGCTCTCAAGTTGAGGCCAAAATGGAGGGGATATCCCACGCTATCCTGAGAGTCCACCTCTACATAAAACAAACTCTCCATGCAAAGATAGAGAGCAAATACATTGACAGGACTGCCACTTTATTTGGGGACTCCAAAACTGAAAACACGGCAACCCTGCTAATGGATTTGCTCCCTATCTTTGCATGGAGAGTTTGTCTTGATGTAGAGGTGGACTCTCAGGATAGCGTGGGATATCCCCTCCATTTTGGTCTCAACTTGAGAGCTTTTTTTGAGCTTGGGAGTTGATTTCAGGGAGAACCTGTGGCACCATAGTGTTTCTATGTGTTCGAACTTTTACATAAGAATCAATGGTCCAATCGCAAATTCCTCACACATGCAACTTCCCATTAGGATAAAGAAACCGAGAGACTGAAAGTCTTAAGACAATTTTTAATCGTTTGTAATACGATCATGACTTAAATCAGATTTTATGAAACTTTATACTGCCGTTTTGTCATCAATAATGCCCAGCCGACTATAGAAAACTCAAGCAAAAAGGTTTGAAAAGACCTCGTGCTAAGAGTAGCTCTGAACTCCTAAAAGACTCCATCATTTACCTTACGCATTTAAAACTTGCCGGGTAGGTTTTAATTAAAGTAGAATTACAAACAGGAGCTTTAGGATGTCCACAGGGTGCCGGCGCCACAGGACTGGAGATCAGGAAAAGTCGGATTTTCCCTCCATGATTTGCCGAGGGACGTGAAAAAATGTCAGGGAACTTAATAAGTAATTTTTCTCCCTGGATTAATTTTTCACGATTTAACGAGTTTTCTCGTCCGAGGATGCCTGAACGAAGACTCAACATTGTTTTGAATACTTATATAAATGACTACTTAACGATGTTGGGTGGATAATAGTCGAAATGCATCCGAAAATATTGATTACTTCCCAAAGAAATACTATGTAACGATGTGTGGACTTGCTCATTGGACTTCTTCACCATCTAACATGTTTTAATTCCTCTGTCCTCCAGGGTCGGACTGGCTCGCATCTGAGGATGCAGACCCTTGGCCGGTTAAAGGGGCGTAATGTGATATTTCCTGGTGGGGTATCCCTTACGAAGAGAGAGGTTGAGAAAATTTTGACAAAGCAGCACAAGTTTATGCTATTTTCAGGTTCAAAGTTTATTAATAAATCGCAAGGAGTAAAACTTGCAAAATTGAACGTATTGAAGTAACCAACAGACCTCTGAAATTAAAGAAAACATGAGATATTAAAGCCACTAGGACGTATCCAAGCACCATTATTTCGAAAAGAACCGAGCCAGTGCTGCGGTTTACACGAGCCTAAGACGTGGATCTGCAATCCATCCTAAAAAAGAATCAGACAAGAAACTGAAAAAAGAAGAAAGAACGAGTATCAAGAAGCTGAAGACAGGAATGACGTATTCGGGTCTCTTCTCTAACTTTTCTTCCGAATCTGAGCGACACCTCATTGACAGCATATAGCAGAGCATTGAGAGCTCACGCTTCGCGCCGTCGCGCCTTCAATTTTTCGGATGCAGCACGGACGTCCATCGAGTACGAATAGTTGTATCTCTGCGCCGTCGTAAACGCGCATATCCTTTCTCTCCCTCTAATTCAATATCATGTTTGTTTGCGTTTTCGTAATTGTGCTTCAAGCACTACGTGAGTATCACAGAAAGGAGAGATGTGTTCGGGTCTCTTCATTAACTTTTCTTCCGAATCTGAGCGATACCTCATTGACAGCATATAGCAGAGCATTGAGAGCTCACGCCTCGCGCCATGGCGCCTTCCATTTCTCAGATGCAGCACGGACGTCCATCGAGTACGAATAGTTGTATCTCTGCGCCGTTGTGTTTGTTTCCGTTTGTCTTATTCGTAATGGTGCTTTAAACTAGTAGCATAGAGCAGAGCTATGCGAGTTCACAACTCACGCCATTGCGTCTTACATTTTTCATATGCAATGTGGACATCCATGTTGCGCGAATAGTTGCACCTATCGCGTATACACTTCAGATGCCTCTTAATTTTGATATTTGAGATGAATTAAGGTTAAGTTTGCCCGAGATATGCTATGGTATGTCCAAATCAATAGTCATTTTGAAAAGGAAGAAATATGTCTAAAGGTCTCTCAAGCGGTCTATAAAGGGTGCTTGTGTCTTAAAATCGAACCGACAATCGCTTCTAAAGGAGTTACACGTAGGAAATGAAGGAGCGGGGTGACTAAGCGCCTGTATGTCAAAAAAAAGGTGAACAATTTACAGAAAAGTGTTTACGCTTCAGGAAGTAGTTCTCCAGTAGTTCACCAGTATCATGCGTAAAAGCACCTTTCTTTACTCATTTAAGAAATTTTCCGCATATATTCTCGGTCGTAATTTTTTTTCTCTTCTTATTTTGCTAACTGTCAGAGGGGCGCGCTTATGGGGCGTATCTGCCAATGGCAGATTGGCCTTATGCGCAGTCCGAGCCTGCTGTCCTCACTTTACTATCACCATTTCGAAAGATATCTTTGGGAACTGTAAGGTGTAAGTTAACGGTACTCCTTGTCCTTGTTTCAATGCAGGTTCGTAAATTGCGGATCGAACAAATGAAATTATTTGATTTTTTAAAGTAATTCTGTTAATTTCCTATTTTTACGCCTATTTATTTTTGTTTAATTTCGTATTCTTTCTTTGTTCCAGGGGCAGACCGGAGCTTCAAAACCCGACTCAATTTATCGTGCTACAAATGTGATATTCGATTTTCAATACCATCCATAAGTATAGCTGTGATTTTAGTGTTAAATTCGTAATCCGTAAGGATAATCCCGTTTTCCTGGTAAATTCCGCCGCGAAAATTCCAGCCGATGCGTCTCGGATCTCTGCCAGTTGCACGCGGCACATCCCTAAAAAAGTGATTTTATTTCGAGTGAAGTGTTTCGCGGGCGGGGTGGTTTATGTTTTTTAGGCGTGATTTTTCGTGCGGATCATTTGGGCGAGTCGGAGCAACGGCGGGGATTTTTCGGCACGATGCAGTTTAGTGTAAAATGGCGGATCCCAACAAAAATAGGGCGCTGTATTCCACCGGCGTTGCCTGTCTAGGTCTTGTATGCTTCATCCTCGGCACCACCGCAGTTGCTCTCCCGCTATGGGGTTACTTCGACAATCCACACGGTGAGTTATCTCCACGAGTCTTTGCCAATCAATTATTTTGTAATAAGAAAAGAAAAAACATTGGGAAAAAGAAGTAGGGTGCCCACTAGTCTGGAATTTCCGGAAATAGCACTGATTTTTTACGGACGGTCTAAAAGTGCTGAAAAAGTGCAGGCATTTCCCAAGAAGGTCCGGAATTTTTTCCTTAAGACCACGGGGCGGGGTGTCTACGCTCTACGAGTCCGGAATTTCCGGAAATACTACTGATTTTCTAAGGCCGTCCGGAAGTATTGAGAAAGTGTGGAAATTCCGCAAGAAGGTTCGGGATTTGGTCTTCGGTGTTTTGCACTAAAACGCGGTAATTTATAAGTTCAGAGCCATTTAAAAGGCATATATCCGAGTAAGAAGGGGTTTCTAACATGAAAAGGCCAATTTGGAAAATGAAAAGGCTGATTTTTTGTGATTTTATGAGTTTGATAAAAAATATTTGTCAAAGGGTGGACTACTTCACAGATGACTCACACACGCAGATTCAAAGAACTTTTTCCTGACTTTCCCTGAAAGTGGCAATCACTTTTTTTCAACCAGCTACTACACCATAATACAACAGTAATTTCATTTCATCGTTACTGCCATCTCACAGTGAAATGAGAAACAAAAAGAAACGAATTGTGACTATTTGTAAAGATAATAAAGAGGGATCTTACCAAGAATGATATGGTAAAATTGCAGTTTCTTAAATGGGAACTTCTTTATTTTATTCCTGGCTTTGCCATCCCAACTGAATAAGCCAGCTTTTTCCGCACCAATCAATACACTTATAACATTTCTTCCAGTAAACTTTGGATACAAAGATCGTTTGGTGACTTTCTCGTTGATAATAGTGGCAATCTGTAAGAGACAGAGAGAGGAAGACAAACACTCCCTTAGAATAAGCGCAGATCCATTTAAAAGGCATATATCCGAGTTAGAAGGGGTTTCTAACATGGAAAGGCCAATTTGGAAAATGAGAAGGCTAAGATTTTTCTGCATCCCTGATCGGACGATCTTCATCATGCGTATAGGTATCGTCACTTCAACGTCATCGCGTGTCGAAGTGAGACACGCAAGGACCGCGCTTCGCACTCGACAGGGTCATAGAAACATAGCTGCCAGATCACCCTCCCGGTTGTCTAATTCTTAATTGTCCTTCACCGGGAACGAATAACGCGCCTCGTCACCAACGGATGGGATAATCCCAGCCTCTGATTGCTGCTTAAAGACGGCTAGTTTAGGTAATCAAACGTTCCACTTCCTCGTCGGCCCATTATTTCTAATCGCTCTCGAACAACGCACCGCGCCGCTCGATTCGGAACGTCGTAAGCGCCGCGGCGCCCGACCGCGACTCGGGTTCTTTTTGAAATAAAGGGCGCCGCGACGCATTTTGCCGGTGACATTTGGCGGGAAGAGCGGAAGGCGCGGGGCCGAAATGACCTCAGTATTGATTCACGCTGCGCGCGGTTTCTCAATTGGAGTACGTGCGCGTGCGTAGCCCGGTTGCACCGGCCGGAGCTGCAAGTGCATGGTTGCGGCAAGGTCGCCGTTAATTGTTCCCGCGAATTATGTTGAAATTGCCGCTCCGCTGAGTGGGTGGTTCCCGAGGCCCGAGTACGTGCTTCTCTTCCGGGGGAGCGTCCCGTTTTCCCGCGGATGCATTTCAGGGTGGGTTGACGTTTCCGCACCAGATTTTCGATTTTGACATTTCCACACAAAAACTTGGATTGACATTTACGCACGAAGTCGATCAGGAAAACCCTATTTTGGCACGATTTGGCAACACCGCGCACATATTCGAATTCCTCTTAATCCACACGCCAAAAATGTAGAGAAATTAGGAGAAAACATTTTACTATAAACATTACAGGGGAAGGTGGATGTTTCCGCACCAAATTTCCGATTTTGACATTTCCACACAAAAACTTGGATTGACATTTACGCACGAAGTCGATCAGGAAAACCATATTTTGGCACGATTTGGCAACAGCGCGCACATATATGCAGCTCCTCTTCCGAGGGAGCGTCCCAATTTCCCGCGGATGCATTTAACGGGAAGGTTGACGTTTCCGCATAAAATTTCCGATTTCGATTTTTCCACACACAAACCTGGATTGACATTTACGCACCAAAGCACGCAGCAAAACCCTATTTTTGGCACGATTTGGCAACACCGCGCACATATTTGCAGCTTCTCTTCGGGGGGGGAGCGTCCCATTTTCCCGCGGATGCATTTCATGGGAAGGTTGACGTTTCCGCATAACATTTCCGATTTCGATTTTTCCACACAAAAACCTGAATTGACATTTACGCACCAAAGCACGCAGCAAAACCCTATTTTTGGCACGATTTGGCTACACCGCGCACATATTTGCAGCTTCTCTTCGGGGGGGGAGCGTCCCATTTTCCCGCGGATGCATTTCATGGGAAGGTTGACGTTTCCGCATATAATTTCCGATTTCGATTTTTCCACACAAAAACCTGGATTGACATTTACGCACAAAAGCACGCAGCAAAACCCTATTTTTGGCACGATTTGGCAACACCGCGCACATATTTGCAGCTTCTCTTCGGGGGGAGCGTCCCAATTTCCCGCGGATGCATTTAACGGGAAGTTGACGTTTCCGCACAAAATTTCCGATTTCGATGTTTCCACACAATAACCTGGATTGACATTTACGCACCAAAGCACGCAGCAAAACCCTATTTTTACACATCAAAGTACATAATGCGGTTGAAAAAGAGTGGAAAGTAACACGCAATTTTGTTCTTCTCATTGAAGATGAAATCAGCATGCCAATGAACATCCCAGCGATAGACTGTTTCAATTTTCACCAGCTCTCTGTCTGAGCAAACAAGTATCATAATTATTGTTCTGCTTGATGCGTGAATTAACTGTTAAACCACTGAATACGCTCATCTAAGGGCTAAGTGCCAAACCTACACAGTCGCACAACCTGCAGCATCCCGTGTAGTCTTTCATTGTATACAGGGTTATTAAAAAGTCACGCACCACTGACCATAACTTTAGTTCTAATTATGATATCGATTTGCGGTTTAAGACGTTTTTCCTCATATTGAGGGGGAAACTTTTTACGGTACTTTCCAGTTTTTGATCCCCTCGGGGGGCAGGGGGGAGGGGGCAACTGAAAAATTTCAAATGGCCACCTCCCTCATGGCCAGTGCCGCGTGACTTATGAATAACCCTGTATACACATCAGTGGCGAGGCGTGCATGATTGACTGTCGATATTTCCCCATTTGAAGTTATGGAAAAGAATCAATTATTAAGGCGCTCGTTGCGAACACTCTGTTTATCGATCTTTTTCCATAGGTTTAAATATCAGATAAGACGATATATCGTAAAGCAAGCCAAGTTACTGATACCCATTAGAAATAACGTATCATAGGATACATCCGTTCACAACGAGTAAATAATTATTTGCCGTATTGTATACCGTTACCGCCAAGCAACCCATAAGTAGATGAAAGGCTTATCTTTGTAGAAGAAAGCAAACGCCGTAGGGATTGCATAGAGGTTATGTATCCTAACATACTGCCGTGCTAAGGAAGAATGCCGTATGAAAATTCGAGAGTTGTCAAATTTCCTTCGATAAAATTTTTATTTTTTAGGAAAATTGCGAATCTTTTTCCATGAAATTTTCGGACGTTTTAGATCAAATTACAAACAAAATTATCTGCGAAATTGGTAGACAAAGATTTATTAAGTTTCCTGAAAATTAGTGATTTGCCGGGGGAAATTTGGCAACGCCTAGAGGTTCATACGGCGTTTTTCCCTAGCGCGGCAGCATAAGCCTTTAACCTCGTGAAGAAATGGCGCCCTGCGCGCACACGGAGCTCAACGACCTTGAACTTTGCTCAGACTCAGTGAGTAAGTAAAATTTCAGCGAGTGCAGTACGATCTGAACACTCGAGTCAGAAACGGTCGGATGTTTAGCTCCGGAGAACTTGCCAACTCCAATAACGGACCTCGTTTTCTTCCTCCGTAATTGACTCATATCTACCTCACCCCATCTTCAACTTAAACAGGCAGCTGCCAAGTTTTATGAATAAAGTTCGTGGGAGCTGACGTAGACGAGGAAAAACCTCAACGTAATCGTGTAGAGCGATGACTTTCTATTTCGAATTTTTTTTTTTTTTTACCTTCCGGAAAATTGCGAGAAACTTAATTCCTAGCTATGCATTCTGATGGATTTGCCTAAAAATGTCGCGCGGAATCGCCATGATGCGATTTAGCCCGGGAAACTGCACTTTCGTCGAACTGAAAGTTTTGCGACGTTTATCCCTCAACTTGGTTTAAGTCACGGAGAACACACCCTGCACGTAGTTCTGTATTAGAATTTTAATTTGATACCTAATCAGAGGAAAGGAAAACTAAAATTCTGAAAAAGAGACGAAACTGGAGAACGTAGAGGTTGACGGATAGGAAGAGCTCTTAAAATAAAAAAATATTGAATTTTACGACCGTTCGTGTGAACCGTTCCTGTGAAGAATTTAAAACCACCCCAAAATGGGGTCGCCGCTGACGTCACTGGCGCTTTATATTTCTAATTCATTACTAAGGCCCGAGCACTGACGAGCACACCCCATCTATCCACTTGCACATAGTTCTATTTAGCATAAACACGTCCATCTAATCATTATAATGGAACCGCTCTCGAAATTGCCGTGGACCTGGACCTACCTGGAAATTAAAAAGTTGAGGAGAAACTATAAATTCAGATGAAATGCATCAAATTATGAAAGAAGAAGAAGAGTTGATGATGATGAAAAGAGAGTTCGGAATGTTTCTATCCTAGTAGCCCTACACTGAAAAAAAAAGTAGCTTGGATTCAAGCATGATAATTCTTGAATTTGCCGCCAACAATTTTTTTTATCTTGCTTTAAGCTGACTTTTTCTTGATTCAAATAAAATAATGATTGGATCAAGCAAAAAAGTAACATATATTAACCAGAAAAATTCTTTAT